CCCTAAGATCTGTAAGTTTTGCTGAAGTTTTGCAATTTTTTTTTAAACGTACGAACTTTCTGACGTTCTAAAGACTTCTATTAAGGTCTATCGACTTCTCTTAAGGTTTACGGACTTCTCTGAAGTTCTTTAGATCTATCTATTTCCGACTTCCATGGAGTTCTGTAAAATATTGTACTTTTGTACTTCGCTGCAATTTGTTTTTGGAATTGAGGTGCTTTTCTGACATTTAACAAATTTTTCGGAAGATCTCACATTTGTGTGAAACTGTGAAACTTTCTGTCAAATTCCTGCAAATATCTTTAAAGTTCTGTAAAGTTGTCTTAAGCTCCGTAGCTCTATTCCCAAGATCTACAAAAAAACTTGAGGCTCAATAAATTTCTCAGTAGATCTGCAAACTTCTCTGATGTTTTGTAAATTCCTCTTGGCTTACCCTGAAGATTTGAAAATTTCCTTGAAGATTACCTTAAGTTGTCAAAATTTATCTGAAAATATTTGAGCTTCCTTGAAGTTTTAAATGTCTCTCTCAAGATCTACAAATTTTCCTGAAATCGTGTAAATATTTTTTAAGTCACCGAACTTCCCTGAAGTTCTGAAATTTTTACTGAAGATCCATTAACATTTCTGAGATTCTTGTGACTTTTTTCAGAAGTCCTGTAATTTTTTCAAAGTTCTGTGGCTTTGTTCTGAAAATCTACGAACTTTTCTGATGTTGAATTATGTTTCGATGATCTGCAAACTTCTGTGAAATACTTTATATTTCACTGTACATTCTTGGACTTGTCTGAAGTTATGCGAATTTCCCTGAAGATTTGCAAAATTTCGCTTATAGTTTTACAAATTGATTTGAAATTATTTTTGCTTGCTTGAAGTTTTGAAAATTTCTTTGAACATTTATCTGAAGATCTACGACCTCTCTTGTGATTTTGTTTTTATGAATTTCTGCTAATTACTTTTAATTTGTTTGTAGTTCTGTTCTCTAGATCTACGAACTACCCTGAAGCTCAACGAATTTCTCAGTAGATCTCTGACCCTCTCTGAAGCTCAAAAAAAAATTCTATGTGGGCTCTCAGACCTGCTGTCTGGCATGCTTATTCTTATACAATACATCCTTCGTATGCTTCCTTTTGACGGTTGCCAGTCTCTCTTCTTCGACTGTTTCCTTTTACGACGATTTTGATCCTCCACATACAAATCAGCGCAGAGCGAGCGTGACAAGACTCTCTGAATGAACTTGTCTCGTTCGCACACGTTGTCTTACCTGTCAGATGCTTGTCAAGTTCAGTGCCCTTAAGAAACGTTTTGAGAAACTGAACGAAAAACTTTGTTTGAATTACGAATGAAGTGATAATTGGAAAACTCCCTGAGTGGAACCAAAATTCCCTAAATATTCCAGGTTTTTCCAGAAAAAATTAAATTCCCTGTAAATTCCCGGTTTTTCCAGGTAGTAGACACCCTGTGGCGGTACTACCAACTACGATACTTTTTAATTGTCCGTTAAATGCTTGTTCGATGAACAACTTTCGAGTGTTATGTCTGTTTGTCTGTGATTTTAGAGTAGTTCTGAGGAGAACTTCAAACTACTTCTGTGAAGAGTTTCAGAGTAAGTCTGAGGAGAACTTCAGAGTAGTTCTGGAGAAGACCTGCAGAGAATTTCCGAGAACTCCAGAAGTTCCATTGGCCTCAGGGAAATTTCGGGAAATTTATGAAACTCTTCGTGTCTGGCCAACGTGGTACTGAGTACTTAATATGGCCACCAATGATCTTATTTATGTGTCGCATGAGGGTGGCCACTTCCCCGGGAACATGTCCGGATCTGGCTAACGTGGTCTTCAATACTTAATATGAGCACCAATGATCATATTTTTGAATTCTCATGTAATTTGATATGTCGCATGTTTGTATTGATTCAACAAGAATCTGGCCAGTTTCCTGGGGATACCCGAAACATGTCCAGATCTGGCCAACGTGGTCATGAGTACTTAATATGAGCACCAATGATCATATTTTTGAATTCTGATGTAGTTTGATGGGTTGCATGAGGGTGTTCAGAAGAGAGTGGCCTGTTCCCCGGGGTACCCGGAACATGTCCGGATTTGGCTAACGTGATCTTCAATACTTAATATGGCCACCAATGATCATATTTTTGAATTCTCATGTAGTTTGATGTGTCGCAGTGAGGGTGAATCTGAACACTTTCCCGGAACATGTCCGGATGCGGCCAACATAGTTCTGACTACTTACTACGACCTCGGATGATTATTTGGTGCACGTCTTGAAGGTTCTGGTTAATTCAAAATTACAAAAAATACAACTGAAAACATTGAGCACTTCTCAGGTTGCCGGTTGCCGCTTAACCGCACCTCGTTTTTCTTTTCCAAAATGTTGAAAAAACGCGTTTAGTAAAATGCTGCTTTTTCCACAACGCACTCATAGAGCTATTTGACGCACACTACTGCACCATTTAAATCGAACGAGTGCGAGCAAGAGGGAAACAGATTAGTGGGAAAACAAACCGTTCATTCATCCATGTGTGCTAGATAGAGAAAGACGATTAAACGTCAAAAAGGTTTATTGTGGGTTGTCAAACGGATGTCAGTGCATTGGGAAATTGGCGATTGCCGCTATGCCGCTATCATTGTGTTCAGCACTTTGCTTGGAGTAAATGTTGTTTAACTTGTAGCAAATTTTTTGTTGTGTAGAAGTTTGAACGAAATGATTAGTTTTGACGGTTTTTCATTTTTGAAATATGTCTTTCTTCTTCTTCGCATTTTAAGCTTATTGCATATCGCATATTAGCTTGCGTGCTCTCAACTTAGTGTTCTAGATGCACTTCCACAGTTATTAATTGAGAGCTTTCGATGCCTGTACCATTTTTGCATTGATATGATTGTGTGGCAAGTCCAATCATACTTCTATGCCCAGGGAAGTCGAGAAATTTTCCAACCCGAAAAATTCCTAGACCGGACCGGGAATCGAACCCAGCCGCCTCCAGCATGGTCTTGCTTTGTAGCTGCGCCTTTACCGACTGAGCTAAGGGAAGCCCCGAAATATGTGCTAATATCTTTTATTTTAATTTCAGAAAAGATTGAAATCATTGAAACACGATTATTGTCCTAGTTGATTATTAAAATTTCCAACTTTTTCCCGGTTTTTCCTGGTGAAAATAAAATCCGGACTTTTTCCCGGTATATCCTGGTTTAATTGCCATCTTGTAATCAATTTTTGGTGTCTCGTTGTAAGAGAAAGCGAGGAATCGCGACCTTAAAAAAATCAAGATATCGGATTTAGAATTTGTATTACCAAAATTCGATTAATAAATTTCATGAAGGTTCAAATCAAAATCCCGGTTGTTTTCGATTCCTGGTTCTGCCGGTTTTCTCGTTCCCGCGGCCACCCTGGTTAAAAAGATTGGATTATTGAATTCCAATAGTTCCACCAACGCGCGTTAGAAAATTTTCCATATTATTGAATTGTTTTCTGATACATATTCAGCGAAGCGAAACAAACATGTTTTGATGACCATTTTCGTGCATTAATGATGCTTAATAATGAGTATGCGTATGCCTACAAATCCTTGGAGGCGCCAAAAAAGAAAACAAAGCATTATCACTAGAACAGTCAACGTCGGAAAATTATGTTAATTAAGACAGCATAACAAATCAAATAATTAATCAAATTCAACACGTTGAGTTATAGAACCAGATTATTCGGGTAGCACTTCCGAGTGTGATGTAAAATGTTCGGTAAAATAGATTATATTTAGAATCATTATATAGTAAACTTATGAATATGAAGTCGTCTAAAAATTATCATTGGTATAAGAAAATGCTCCCCCCCACAACTACAGTTAAAGATCAACACGCGTGCCGAGTGAAATAGTAAACAGCAAGATGTTTTCAGTATGTTAGGTGATTTGAATGTGAGTTTCATGAGAAAATCAACGGTTGTAGAAAATTCCAGGAACTCGGCAAGCTAAGCGCTTTACTTACAAACATTGCCACGCATGGTCAAAGTTTCTCACGCAAGACAAATATCACTGTCTGAAATCAATCAAATAGCATAGAATTGTTTGATAACATTCGGAAATTCAAAATAATGGCTGAAAATCTCGTTTACACAAATCAGATAACCTTGACATGCTGGAAACTCTTGGTGAACAGTATCTTTTCATTTAATACACAAAGAACGACGCACAAAAACGGTCACTTGCGCAGACAGGCCCCCTACGTATTTTATTTTTGCTAGTGTTCGCGAAAAATGAGCACATAACAACAACAATAACAATCAATTTCAGATAACACGAACAGAGCACACAGATAGTGTGATGGTAGGTGTGTAAAAAAAAACCCCAATCATACTGCGCCTGTTCTTGTTGCGCTTTCAACCTCGAAGATAAGTTGAGTTGGACCTGGGAAGGGATGAGAGTAGAAAAGCAATACTTTTTGGGAAAAAAAAAATATTTCCTCATCAGAAGCGGGGCGATAAGCGAGCAAATAAGAAAAAAACAGCTACGTCATTGCGGCCGTAGTTTGATAACGTGTTTGAATTTATGATAGAGATGGTTCACGCCGTTTTTTTTTCCGAGCATCACTGCACGTCATAATATTTGCAGATTATACCGAGTAGGTATTAATTGCTTTCAATCACGAGTCTTAAGCGCACATGTTTTCCGTGCCTTTCACCACCCAGAGCAGAGCTGCATGTCACACCACAACAGCTGATAAGCTGTGATCTATTTTTATATATATTTTTTTGCATCGGTCAATCGGCCATATGGGGTGTACCTTCAGCCACTGCAGCTTCTAAGCAAGTAATCTATCTTGATGCTGATGTGGTTCAACCAGTATAGTGCGAAAGTTGCACTTGAACCGGTTTGAATCACTTTGCAAATTCTGGGTCACTACCCTTGACTACAGCAGCATTGTCGTCAGACTTGGCTTGGTAGATTTCTTCAAGGAATATTGCCATTCTAAGTGGGTAGTAATGTTACTCCTTACCTGCGAATGTTCGTCCTAAGTGAGTTGCTTTAAACATCGGGAACACAGACGCATGAAATGTCTATCTTTATCCGCTGGTCAGTCTTCTCAGTGCTCGTTCCGGAGATCTATTCCACGAACATCCAACCTCAGAGGATGTTAGGAAAATTATTTCACCACACGAAAATATCAGCGGCACAATATCACTCAGATTGAACTACACACGGTAGAGGTACGATAAGATTCAGCTCTCAAACGAAAAGTCGTTGCTGACGAAGATTAGATTACATTCTCCGTGGAATATTTACGGCCAACAACGAAGGCACAGGAATAGGCAACAATTATTATTATTAACTACTGATAAGGACTTTTTCTTCTCTTCTCGATTCCGCGATTCAACTACGCTGTGCTGAAGACCGACAATCCGAGCGCGATGAACAACATAACCAGACTGACTGAACTTGGTCGATTGGATGGACGTCTTGGTGCTAGGCCGATCGCTTTGGTTCGCCCGTTCCCTTATCACTACCTTCTTCACCACACTACCGCCAAGCACGGTGGCTCACGGATCGCTTCTCTTGTGGGTGTTTCTATCGGGGTTGTTGTGTTGTAACTTGTGACAACGGGTGTGAGTGTTATGGTTTGTTTTTGCCTTACCAATCGAAGGATGAAGCCGGCAAATGGACATGGATAAAAATGGGAAAATCCTTTAACACGGACCAATTTCTTGTTACAAAAACCAACATAAAACCATTAACTAGAGATTGTCGCCAGCATTATCGAGATTATTCGAACTTAAAAACTTGAATAAAATAACACGCACTTTGCCGATGACAACCACGCACCGACGTTGACACGGAACATCAAAAACTTTTTAATCACTGGTTTCGTTTACGTTCACGGTTTTTGTGATTACTCTTTACCAAAGTTTTTACCGATCCAGGTATTGGCGTCTTTCAGTGAAACTTTTCCAAGCTTTCGCCACCTACATTTCGAAGTGAGAACTACTAGAAAGAGGATAGTTCCAAATTTTCCAGGTAAAACAGACGCTTTTTGTGGTAAATCGGTTCATAAAGAAAAACTAATAATTTCCCGTCGATTTATTATGTTATTATTTCGGTATGGATCGGAGATGTTTTCATGGAAAATTATGCATAACAAGTTTGCACCCACAGGTAGAGGTTACCTCCTGCGCAGCTGCATTTTTCGGAAATTGGTGAATATGTGCGATTTCCAGTAGGATGAAAGTTGAAATTAAGTGAATTTACTTAGGAAAGATTGTATCATGCGGTTGATAATGGAGAAATGGTTGTATAGGACGCCAATATTCAATTAATGTTCATTTTGGCCTTTTATGGTAAACATATTGATACTCACAATTAATTATATGATTTGAGTAGTAGCTATACTGAAGATCCGAGAGATGTCGCCCCTTCAGTGGTAGGAAAATTTGCAGTATGGAGAATATCAGAAAATCCACGATTTGTGACTAAACATGCTTTCACAGAAGAAAACAAATAAACGAGTGTTTACCTTATCACCATAGTAATGTACTCGTGCAATTTTTGTGCATCTAAAACTGCCCATAAAGACGATAATAAATAATAACTGAAAATTTTCATGCATTTCCAAATGGTTTCCTACCATTCCCATACATTCGAAGTGACTGGCCCTCTGGATGTGGATGATGTCAAAAACAACAAAACATGATAAATTTTCGACGGAAAACGCAACGGAACTTGCTTTACTCAACACGCACCATACTATATAAGTGACAACAAGATGACAAATCATCTTTATAATGAGTAATTGAGCAATTTACTGCTGTTTACATCATATGTACAATGCAGCATTGATGGAGCTGTGAAATGAAATGAATATATCTTATGAAAGTTCATCTGGAAAAGTCAAAGATGCACATCAGTCTGATCGCGAAAACATTTTCTTCTTCAATTCGACTGTTATATGAGCATGAGCATGATTGACCACCCACGGTTGCTACTCTGTTATTGCCAGACCAGCTGTAATTACACAGAGAACCAATAGACAATGCTTGGGACTAGCAATCATCCTCAATTTGTAAAAACTGGTGATCTCGAATTAGGCAATACCAGCGCCAGCCGCGCCTGAACGCAGGTCAAGAAAGGAATGGGTAGGAATGTGTTGACGTGACACTCGCTTTGATGGAAGCCGAGGAGTACTCTGCACTTCCACGAGGAATCACAGGGACGTTGGGTAAGAGGGTTGGGTTAGCAGCAGGGTTCGTTTTGGTAAACGATAAGCTGAATTGATGTCCTAACGATCGTATAACGCAAAGGAGCTTGGGATTGAACCCACGGTCTACTGCTCAGTAAGCAAAAACGTTTGCAACTAGGCAGACGAGCTCCTTTTTAATCATTGACAAATCTTGAATGTGGTTGGGCTTGAGATTAGACTCATGATGTTCTGCTCAGTAAGCAAAAACGGTTGCTCTAAGGCCACCGAGCCTCTCATATCACATTATAGCGTTACTCAAGTTTTTATAACTATTCAAACCCGGCACCGACGACAGCGAAAAGTTTTACAAAATACACGATAAACAAGCGATCTTACCATGAATTTTTAATATGAAAGGATCTGGGACCGCGTTTTTCTCCTCAGTAAGCAAGCCACTGCAACCGACGATCTTTGAAAACCTAAAACTAAAAGCTTCGAAAGAGTACTTAGGCCTTCATTAAGATCCACTTTCACGCGACGTTCAATGTTTCGATTTTCTCTTTACGCATGGTTCAGACAATCATAACAAGCTTTGACCGACATGACGATTCTTTAAGACCTGGTTAAACAAGCTATTCAAATGAAATTACGTTCTCGAATTTCACTTGGTATGTAATGAACAACAGAAATACGCGATAATTCATATTTGCAGCGGTTGATGTTTAATTTTAAATATACTAACGGTTCTGCCTACGACAACGACGGTGATTACGACAGCGACTGCGACGGCGCCTACGACAACAGAGAATTTGTAACTTACCATTTGTCTAGGATAAACACCTTTTCCCGGCACCGGCACTGGTTCTTCATGTCCGCTATCTGTCACTGTTTGCAAAATATCTAATAGCAATTACCTTTGTTGTAATACTTCCTGTATTGCCATGGTGATCTGGGAGGAGGTTCGCATTTAGTGCTTTCCCCGGGAACCGTTCACGGCCACCAGCTACTACCCGTCCAGTCTTGGGCGTATCCAGCGAGACATCCTTCAGCTTACTCACAATCTCCGTCACTCGATGCATATCACAGGCACACTTACGCTAGTTACAAAAAAAAAACACACACCCGTGCAAAGAAACGGATCCAATGAACGTCACTTTTGCGAAAGCACACCCGTCGTCGTCGAACGGCAAAAAAAGGAATCGGTGGGAAATTTTGTGATACGGATTCCAAAATCAAACGGGAATGCGCGAATTTCACCACACCCAACTGCGAAACACATTCAGAAGCACTTATGGTACACTTTCGTTCGAAAACACTTAATTTTTTCAAAAATAGTTGCGAGTGAACCAACATCATCACCGCGTAAATAAACTAAAATTAAAATTATCAGTCGCGATGCCACAAATTTCTGGACCGGGAGAAAAAAATCAAACAACCTCTGGTCGTTTGTGGATACGAAGAGGAAGGAAACTGGGCTGCCGTCAAAAATGTTTCTCGGCAATGACGTAGTATTGACAACTGAGGACAAATGCAGTCTATTTGCTAGGCACTTCTTAAGCCTGGTACGCAGCTGAAAAGTAATGACGTTTTTACGTGCTACGGGATAGGACACGGAATGCTAAAGAAATTTCTTTTCCTTAGCATTTCTTGACCCAGTACGCAGTTCAAAAGAAATCGGTAAAGGAAAGATCGATTACATTAGTATCGTGATCGACATGAAGGTGGCGCATTCTGAATGCAATTTCACTTTCCTTGCGGAATAATGGTCTGATCAATTATTCCGTTAGGTAATGTTGGCGTTTATTGCAAAACTGATGTTTTGGATGCATTTAAACAACAGAAACACTAATAAGTGTTGATTTTACAATTTGACCGCATCTCCCTATAATCTCAAAATTTAGCAGACTATAGCTGTCAAATTTTCTTTTGGGAAAAATCCACAAAAATTACTTTTCCGTTTTCTTTTCAGCTGCGTACCAGGCTTTAGGCTGTGAACCATTTGTCGAGTTAAATTTAACTCGTGGTTAAAAGTGACATTTCGAAAGTTATTCTTGATGTTCGAAAATCCCTGTGCTGTCGATCGACAGGTTTTCGAGAAGAACTCAGCCACGGTTGTCAACATTTAACTTCTTGTCTGTCAGAAATAACCACGCTCGGATAGCAGGGTTAATCGATAACTTTCCATCTGTCAAATTTTAACCAAAAATTAAAATAGTTCACCAAATGGTTCAGAGCCTTAAGCGTCTTCTCGAATCTCTTCACGGAGACCAAATTCGTTAAGTTAAGATAACAATCCTACACGGATAGAAATCTCCTTATACCTTTTGGCAAATTTCCATTGCTGTTTATTCATAAAATGTATAAGTCAACTAATAAGCAGACGCCTTGCAAAAAGTTAATAAAGATCATGAGTCAAATGAAATGTATATGCGGTCACACATACCTTTTATGCATTCTAATAGGACCTATGTGGTTTGTCTTATGGAATGTATAAGGCTGATGCTTTGGCAAAAATGTATAAGTGAAACACATGAATTCTCGCATGAATTAAATACCTAATTGATTTTCGTTTCGTGTAATAGTTACTTTCACATGGAAAAATATTGTTGTTTGAAAGAAACCTATAGTTATTCCAACATTAATTTGACCGTCAACTCAATCATATCTACCTAATAGATTCAACTGTTCATCTTATACTCAATTCAACTATAATTTGATCAATTATAACAACCGTCAAATGTAATTTATTTATATAATTTGGTTTCAAGTGATCATCATAAATCCACATACTTTTAACTTGTGATGCGTAGAGCAGGCCATAAGATAGCTGGCTCTCACGCAGATGAACACGGTTCAAATCTAAGTTGAATGTTCTTGTTCACTTTTTTATGATTTTGCAGTTGTGTTTTTGAGATCGATAAAGAAGCAAAACAAACTTTATTTAATATGTCGATAATGAAGAGCAGTTCGTTTAATGAACATTGTAAAATTTTGCTTTTCTAACAATAGTTTTCTTGAATCAACTAACGCATAGTTGTATTTTGAAGTTTGGCGTTTGTTCATCTACTGAAAAATATAGTTGAGCCAACCGAGGAGCCAACTATGGACTATAGTTGTTGCCCTCTATATATAGTCAAATCCACTATAGTTTCGGCACAGACAAACAGACATATCACTCGCAAGATAAACATCGAATAAGCATTTATCGGTCAATTTAAAAGTATCTTAGTTGGTAGTACCGCCACCTGTGGCGCGCATAGTCAATTCCCTTGCGTTTGACGTTTCCACACTACCGCCATCTGTTCAGCGTACTACCCACCACAGTGTACTCATCAGATGGCGGTAATGTTTTAACGACGATGTTTTACAGTGAGAAATATTCAATGTGTTATGTCTGTTTGTCTGTGGTTTCGGGTTATCTCTAAAACAATTGAACAATATAGTTATTTTGACCGGAAAAATAATTGCGTCTGCTATAATTTGTTCTCCGTGCTCAATTCGACTGTTATATTGGAAGAATTTTACACAGGCTTGATGAAAATTATGATTTAACGCTAATTTTCACGAATTTTATTGGAAGATTGCCGTAAAAGCTCAACGCAGATGTCGCCACTGCATGATGATGATAATGTTGACAGACTGCATATAAAATTCGTGAAAATTAGCGTTAAATCATAATTTTCATCAAGCCTGTGTAAAATTCTTCCTATATAACATTCGAATTGCAGAAGAAAACGTTTTTACGATCAAACTGATGTGCAACTTTGACTTTTCCAGTTGAACTTTCATAAGATATATTCATTTCATTTCGCGGCTCCAACGATGCTGCATCGTAAATATGATGTAAACAGAAGTAAATTGCTCAATTACTCAAAATAGAGATGATTTGTCATCTTGCTATCACTTTGAAGACCATCTAGCACCATTTTATAGTATGGTGCGTGTTGAGTAAAGCAAGTTCCGTTGCGTTTTCCGTCGAAAATTGTGAGCATCAATATGTTTGCTAACAAAAGGCCAAAATGAACATTTATTGAATATTGGCGTCCTATACAACCAATCTCCATTACCACCAGCATGATACAACCTTTCCTAAGTAAATTCACTTAATTTCCACTTTCATCCTAGTGGAAATCGCACATATTCACCATTTTCCGAAAAATGCCGCTGCGCAGGAGGTAACCTCTCCCTGTGGGTGCAAACTTGTTATGCATAATTTTCCATGAAAACATCTCCGATCCATACCGAAATAATAACAGTTAGTTTGCAAACACATTTTCTTACACGATTCAAGCAAAAGTTTTCACAGGAAATTATTAGTTTTTCTTTATGTACCGATTTGCCCCAAAAATCGTCTGTTTTAGTTGAAGAATTTGGAAACTATCCTCCTTCTAGTAGTTCTCACTTCGAAATGTAGGTGGCGAAAGCATGGAAAAGTTTCACTGCAAGACGCCAATATGCAGTCTGTTAACATTATCATCATCATGCAGTGGCGACATCCGCGTTGAGCTTTTACACTGAACCAAATTGTCCATACATCAATGTATGATTATTGCTTCACTTGAGCCCCATACGGATTATTTTTCTATTTGTGAAAGATTATCATTCTCTGATTCAGCTCTCAAAGCACAGAAGAACTGAATAGCATTAATTCTAAAACAGGATGATTTTCGTTCTGCACGCTGTAAACCATTAGCATGATTATCATCCATTCTTAGGAAGACTTGAAATGAACAAACCGTATGATTAACATTGAGAAAGATACGGACTCGTCATACAGTTTCAAAATAAATTGTCATGCAACGTTTATATGAAATATAAGTGCAATCTGAATGAAAAATATATGGAAGCAGAAAGCTTATTTTACTGTTTAAAAATTGTGATCATAACGAAATATATCTCTTCTAAATTGTTGGAACTGTTAATTATTGTTGCAAATGAAACACTTCTGTTTTATAAGCTGAACAATTGTTTTATTCATTTATGATAAAACAACCACACTAAATGCTGCACTGGGCCGGTCTCGCCCCTGGCGTCCCCATCGAACAGTGGATTCGCCGGTTCGGACTCGTCATCCACGGAATCGAACCCAATCACGTTCTGTAGGAACTTGTGCAATTTAGGATGTTGGCTCGGGTTGTTTGTGGCCTCAAAAAGCAGTTTGAAAATGTTGTCCCAAAATCTGCTAAACGAGCTCATCAGCTGGTTGGTCTTGAAGATATCACTGGAAGATAAATTTGTTTTGTTAGAATCGTTTTGATTGAAACAAAGGACCTCCCTCCCAGTAACTTACTGAAGTCTAGGAATTTGAATCAACCAGCGGATGTTGTTTTGATTACACGTTTCTGTCGATGGCCACTTGGCCAGTTTGTAAAACTCCACTCGTTCGACGACTTGCCGTAGTACGAAAGACGCAGTTCGGCGTTTTGGTACTTGCTTTCCTCAAAGTCGCTGACCACCTCCTCGAGGGGGGGCTGGATCGCGAACAATCCACGGGCACTGAAGCATTCGAATCAAACGGGAACGGAACGAGTAGATATTTTTTTGCCACATGAATCCGAAAACTTTTTTCTCGTTCGCTTTTTGGTGACACTCCCCGTGGTATGCGAAAAAACTGTGTACTGCTATTCGAGAGAGACGCAACAAACTGCGAAAAAATGGTAAGGCCAAAACGCAATGGGAGACTGAAACGACAAGAAAATGAATCGTATGACAGTTGTTGTATGATTTTCGTTATGGGGTTCACTTGGATGATTTTAGTTCATTTCTGTTCTTGAATTCATTTATTGTTAATACCTTTCAAAATTTGAACGGTACTTCATTAAGTGGTTGATGTTATTTCCTTTTATGATATGTATGATGAATCATCCCATTTAATGTCAATTATCAGTCAATCGGGTATCTCATATTATTTTCGATGTTAAAGAAATCGGATAGCTCTGAATGATTAATCATGCAATGACGACATGGTAAATTCGCTATCCGTAATCCGTATACGGCAATCTTCATTTTTGAGTTTCGACCGATATGAGTAGATTTTTTAAATTATTTTGTTAGTTTGAAAACAGTGTGTAAAATTAAAAGCGGGATTGGCGCTGACGGTGACTCTGTAGCTCTTTACTCCTATGAGAAAATCCATAAGCAAACGTCAGACTGTGCATGAAACATGGCGGACTTTGTACTATCCATTCACTCCACCGAAAATTCTAATAAGATACTGTCTATATTTGCTGGAAGAGAAAATTCCATTCAACTCCAATAAGCGAGCTTTCATTTTGCGTGTTTTTTTTTGTGTGAATTTCGAGCTTCAAGTGCTGTACACGCTGTATTTCTGCAATTTGTTTTCTCTTTGGAAATTCTAATTAAGTTCCGAAACTGTCCCAACAATGAGTGGCTCTAAATTGTCGCAAACACTCAACATGTCCCTCGGTAAGTGCTGATTTTTAACGTGTTTTCCCACTTCAATGACGCATCTTTTTCTGTAGACGATTACATCGCCAGAAAGGGAATCGTCTCGAGCCTTCGGCAGAAATCTACCGATTCTTCCGGAGAGAGCCATTTCAAGCGTCCGATGCGGTCGGAAATGGACAACGATGAAAATGATGACGATCTAATGTTCGAAGACCGTTTGGGTAAGGTAATGGATACGGAAGACCCTCCGATTTCGATCATTCGCGAAGTGACGCAAAACGACCAAGGTAAAGTAGAGGAAATCGACAACGAGAAGAAGCCGACCAACTTTTCGATTCAGGTGGACTCGGAACGGGAGTGCCGCACGTTCACTACGGAGGAGAAGAGGCGTGGTATAAAGCAACTGCCCTCGCAACAGTGGCGCCTCCGGCGGGAGAATCAGGTTTCAAAGAAACCGACCGGCATCCCACCGCTGATTTCAGTCAAGTCGGTCTTTGATCGGAACACAGATCAGCTGATCGCATCGTTGAGCGAGAACACCAAGTTCCAGAATGTTGATGCCCAGAATCGTGCCACCCAGCTTCAAAACAATAAGCGTCAGTGGAATAACAACCGTAATCAGAATCGAAACCGGTACTACGGCGTTCAGAACTGGAACAATCAGAACAAGTAAGTAGAAATATGTAGAAATGTAAGAATGGGTTTTCTCCATCTAATGTCCATTATGTTTTTTTCCAGCAATAATCGTAAAAATGCAAACAGAACGTCAGGTTTTATGCCGAATGTCCACGGTGCCCAAATGAACAAGAATCAGATCAGAGATCTGCGACCTTTCATTACACCACCGTCGTCGATGCTGCCGCCACATGCTACTGCTGGGAGCGGTCTTTGGAGACCGCTGACGCCATTGAATCAACCGCGGCAGTTGGTAACATTCGCAGACATGCTTAGCCAAATCGGCCAAGCGGCAGACAGCCAAAATCGGGACACGTTTGCCGATGTGATCCGCAATGTGATGCATAATCAGCAGCAACAACAACCGCCGGCCGCGTTGGTGCCGATAATACCGGCGGACAATTTCACCCGGATGAATCCGACCGAACTGATGCCGTTTGCTGCGCAAACAATGCTCAACCACATCACGACGGTTCAGCAGAACTTTGGACCCAAGTACGATATGAAACTGCAGAAGGAGATCCACTCGCTTCAAGGAAAATCGATGTTCTACGGATCGAATGGAGTGGTGGTAAGCTCGGACGGAACCGGTGTTGACAACGAACGGATCAAACCGATGACCACGGACCTGAGCATGAATATGCGCTTCAGCTAGGATGGATCGGTTCCAGCGGAATTCGATTCCTAATATGTTGGGTTTTCCTTGAAAGTTGTGACAAGGTTTCTTTTTCGCAGTGTTTTCCACTCAATGAATTCATTTTTATTACTTAAATGAGCTTAGATCAGTAGATCTATCCCTTGATAATGAAATTTTGTTTCTCACTAAGAAATACAACAGTTGAAGGTAGTTTAAGTTTTCGCGGAAAATGTAACATCGCGCTGATCGGAAGTAAATACACAATGGGAATTTTTATTAGCTGCATTGGTAATTAATCGTCATAAAAATAGGTTTTTCGCTTCGCTTCAGTGTGTCCTACTTACATATTTTGAAAAACCTGACATTCTCTGAGAACTTACCAATTCCTGAAAATATCAATTTCAAATTCTATGCATATTTTTCAGTTTATCCTGGAAATTAATTAAAAGGATATTTTGTCGGAGGATTATGCGCAGCGAGAGAGTAATGCATTTCCGCGATCACGGCGGCAGATGTCAGCACCGACAAACCGACATGACACTTAATTCTGACTTATGCCCAAAAATCGTTAACGGCTTATTTAAATGTGCAGTGATCCAAACTGTCAAAACCATAGGATATTTTAATCTAGATAAAAATAATTTCTCCATAATAGATCAGACACGAATCAATTCATAACTTTTGCAAGCGGATTCATGGCTTAGCTAAGTATTTCCCGCGAACATGGAGTCAGATATCAGTAGTGTGCTTTGGTCAGAAATTTTGTTTTTGCTATGGTCATTCCTGTCGGTGTGTCGGTGATCTCAGTTTTGTGGTTTGATCCGAGGTTTGATCAGAAATTTCTTTGTAATTTATATGATCATTCATGTCGGTTTGTCGGTGCTTTTATTATCGTTCCGCTCTTTTCATCGCACTTATATCAACAATCACTACGAAACTAACGATTTTAAATTGCCTCAGCCGGCGCCGGTGGTGTAATGGTAAGCGTGACTGCTTTCTAACACCCCAATGGGTCTGGGTTCAATCGAGGTCGGTGGGATTTTTCTCTGAGGCATAAAAATCTCTGGTCACGTCTTCCTTCGGAAGGGATGTAAAGCCGTTGGTCCCGGCCCATGTGTGTTGAATGGGTGCGATATCCTACGCAGGTGTGGAAGCTGCCTTCCTGCACATTCGATTGCTGTCAATGGATGGCAATCGATGTCCGTCGGTCATTGGCACTAGATTGCGGAACAGAGACCGACGTTAAATAAAGGAAAGAAAAAAAGGAAGAAGAAGAAATTGGCTCACTACTTGACTAGCCTATTGGCTATGCTTGAACGCCATGGGAAAAGGAAGGGATTGAAGAGGTCGGTTATTTAGGGGTTTTGAGGAAATAACACATAGTACTAGATTTGTGATACAAAATGTAAAGAAACTGAAAATCCATCTCCCACTGATTTACCCTTTTACATAGATAAAAGGCGAACACGAAATTATTGCGACACCGAAAATGTCATGCCAATTTTCTTATAATGTTTAGAATCAAACCAAAATTTTAGGGTAGTTTTATACATATATTTACTTCAAAAATCAAAAGAAAAGTTAATCGATGGAGCCTTGAGTGTAAAATTGAACGCATTTTCGCTTGATGCCCTCCATCAAAGTCTTCACAGTGTCATCCGGTACCAGTTTCTCAGTTTTTTTTTCCATTTTCTTAACATGTCCTTCTCGTCTTTGACTGTCTTCTTGCTCTTCCGAAGTTCCCGCTTCATTATTGCCCAGTACTGCTCCACCGGGCGCAGCTCCGGACAGTTTGGCGGATTCATGTCCTTTGGAACAAAATGGACAGAATTGGCCTCATACCACTCCAGGACACTTTTAGAATAGTGGCATGATGCCAAATCTGGCCAAAATAGCGGAGCTTCGTCGTGCTGCTGCAAGAACGGCAAAAGGTGCTTCTCGAGGCACTCAGATTTGTAGATCTCGCAATTTACTGTGCCCTTTGTCACGAAAGGCTCACTCCTCAGTCCGCAAGAGCAGATGGCCTGCCAAATGAGATATTTGGAGGCGAACTTCGACATTTTCTTCTTCTTAAATTTGTCGTCCACATCGAACTTGCTCTTGCCGGTGAAAAACTCCAACCCCGGAATTTGCTTAAAATCGGCTTTTATATACGTTTCGTCGTCCATCACACAGCAGCCATATTTTGTCAGCATCTTCTCGTAGAGCTTCCGTGCCCGAGTTTTAGCCGTCGATTGTTGCCGCTCATCGCGGTTTGGGAAGTTCTGTACCTTGTATGTATGTAGTCCAGCTCTCTTCTTTGCATTCTGGACGTAGCTCTGCGACATGCCGATCTTTTTAGCCAAATCACGGCTTGAGACGTTGGGATTTGCTTTAATCATCCGCTTCACCTTTCCCTTCGTATTTTTGTTCTCCGGTCCCGGTTTTCTTCCAGCTCCTTTGCCGGGGTCCAACGTCAACCGCTTCAACACTCTGGAGACGGTTGAATGGTGAATGTTCAACATTTTTCCCAACTGCCGGTGCGACAGGTCAGGAAATTCCAGGTGTTTGGAAAGAATTTGTTCTCTCAACTCGCGTTGGTTCACCTCCATTTTCGTTGAATCGAAAAACACGACTTCGAGTTTGACAGCATGTACACAATACACATCAATGAGAAAGTGTGCAAAATTTGGTTGATTTTTACCCAATGGTAAAAAAGTTATGCCCTGTTGAATGTGTCGCAATAATTTCGTGTTCGCCCTTTACCAAATTGATATTTTAAAGCAAAAATCAAAATAAACAGACAATATATGAAAAGGCTAGTTGCCAGTTGCTTTAAAGGCTAGTTGCCTCCCTTAGCGGACCCCCCGCATCATAACTCTTTTGTTAATCTACTTAATGTTATTGGGCTGTCTAAATTTTCTTATTTAAGTTCGTTTGATGATTATGATATCTCATTAGTCTAATTTAATAAATAATTGAAATCTCTAATTTACCTAATCAATAATAACTCCTGCTTTATTAAGTACCTTAACTGCTATTTAAACTAAAATTTAACGTGTTTCAAGTAATTTTGACTTTGATCTATACACGCAGAGAAAATATTTTTGAACATAGCAATATTCAGTATATTTTCAACAAAAAAGTTGTATTATCTCCCGGCTTATAAAGCAATATCTTTGGTTCAACAATAATCATGCTTTCGTTTCAACAATATTTATTGTTGAATTCAAAAGTGGGATGATACGACCACGTAACAATATTTTTTTCTTAAAACAAAAATGATTTTTTGAGAAACAACAATATCTGGTGTTTAAAAGGAATAGAGTTAATATTTCATTTTCATTTTATGATGTACAAGGGGGTCAGGGGCCATGTCACCGATGTGAATATTCACACCATCCATAATACACCAGGGAAGGGGAGAGGAGTGAGCAACACAGCATCTTTACCCATGGGGGTTAAAAAAGTTCTGCGAGGTACACTTATGGTGAACCAGCGGCTCAGGGATTGTAGAAAGGAAAAGGGTTGGGTAGGTTTAAAATGCAGAAATAGATGCCGTCACGATTGAATGCGCATGTTTAAACAACGTTGATCCAGGTACCTATCATATAAATTTGCATATAATCTAGTTATGATTATTGTCAATAATACTTACATTTCGATAAAGATGGTGCTGCCTACTTTACCTGTTATGTGATACTTATCATCACAGAGTCCAACCTTGAATCGCAGACCAGGTCCACTAACAAAACACTCGTTCCGAGAAGGGTTTATGGTCTTCTTCTTCTTCTTCTTCTTCTTCAGGTTCGCTCACCACCCGGAATGAAGGCTCGGTGCGGTTAGTAATATCAAACAGTGTTACATGCAAACGAAAAAACGAAAAAGAGATACAACCAGGATTAGTTTTTTAAAGTAATAGTTTTATCTGAATACCCAACTAACCATAACTCAGTGACATTGTACCACTCTGAACCCACACCTAAAGCTATTTTGTGATTATATGGTTACTTTGGTATTCACATGAAATGTTGTGCAAGTACCAGAAGTTCAACAACGCCCAACTATGGACAGCTCAATGTTAATACCATTTACTCTTTGGATCAGCTTACACAAACATGATAATCTACTAAGAAACATCTAAGAATGTATAGAGATAAAGTTCAAAAATACAGTTTTAACTGATGGTACTTTATAAACTTCAAACTGTCCAATATTGGACCCTGCCAACACACGGCGCCTGCACGGCAATGTGGGCCGTCAGAATGGTTCATCGGTTGCGAAGTGAAGAGCTTCTTAAACTGAAGCGATACATTTCTCAATGTTTCAACGTTATCCTAACGTAAACTTAATATTATCACCCATATGCCTGTCCACGCCCGAAACCCATCCACCACACAAATTCAAATAAAAATGTTTCTGTATGGCAAACACGTCCAGACATAGACGAGAATATGGGTGTATATCTTCACTGTAACAACTACGGGTAATCATCGAAAATACTTGCATTTTACTCAGGCACTTTTGAGCAAACTGCAATCACTCTCTCATACTCGAAATGTGCCACGACCAAATTGGCACAACGACGCCCTATACGCTCTCTGACCAAAGCGCAGGGTAAAAGGAATAGAGTTAATATTTGGACCCAAAATGCAATTTTTCTTGGTTTTTAATAAAAATTTATTTAGCTCAATAAATGAATATGGCTGTTTTTATAATTCGTGGTATTTTCTGGTTTAATTTTTAAAATAAGTGAGAAATTGTTTTGATGCGTATATTATGCCTTAATTGCTTCAGCTCATAAGCTCTAAACTCTATCTATAAGTTCCGACGATGACAGCTTAGAGAAACGGGTTTTGAACTGGTCAACAACGATGTGGGTGACACTTTTTTTGTCAGATCTGGAGAGGAACGCGGTTTTGCTGTACTTCCTTAGGATGGCTTGCCCTTTCGATGACGCGTTCAATAAGAAGGTGGGAGTACAGGCTTCTCGAGTCACTTGAGTCTCTTCAGAGGGCCGCGCGTTGTTGTCTCCGGTCACAGATGAATTGCAAGTAACGGGCTCGAACGGGTTGTTCGCTGACTTTTGAAAGCCCCTGTAATGAAAGGGAATAACTAGTTAGTTGCAATAAACAAGAATGATTTGATGATAATTTACCTGTGCCTCCCTCCAAGAGTCCAATTCATGAATGAATCTGGTTCGTTCAGCAAGAAACGGCGAAGGAAGGAGTTCCTCAATTTCCTTCCTCTGTATGATTTTCAATGTTTCTATGGTGTAACAATTAACTGCAATAATAATGTTAGGATACCGTAACTGAATAAAAAAGGATACTACCTACTGAGAAACGCTTCAATAACTCGTTCAGACATTCCATAACTATTCAATAAATTTATCAACTCGATTTCTTCAACCGACACCTTTTCTACATCCAGTTCTTCAATAATTATTGAATTGTCGGAACCGGAACATATTTTGATACGCAAAACTTTACTGGCACGTGAACAAAATGGCGAAGGACGGGTTCGGTTTCTAGCTTCTCCACACTGAACAAAAAAATATGATTCAATCAACAATCATGGTATCTGAATTAATTTTATGTTGCCCTTGAAATAAACCATGCGTTTTGCTAAATCAACAATTTTGATGCTTTGGAAATTGGAGCAAGAGAACAAAAAATAATATTGTTATTAAAAAAAATAAAGATGTTTGAACAAAAATACCCCATTGAAACAATAATAAAGCGATCGTTGACCACTACCATATTATTTTTTGTTTTAACCATCAAAAATTCTCTGCGTGTATACATTATATCTTAGATCGACCCAGGTGACACCTTCAAGTGACTAAAATGCTTCACTTTGAAATTAGTTTCCTAGCTGATTTTTAAATTATATAGGATATATGCTCCAACCGAGGCTCCAACTACACTCACACGTTTCCACTATGTCGTCCCACCAAATTACGTATGGATATGTCACAATAGAAGCGCGCACAGTGGAAATCCCGAGCCATAGTTCAAACACTTATCGCAAATCAAAATGAAGCACATATAAGGTTAGTTACAATACCATGTACAAAAATGGTGTTTAACATTGTTCCCTGAGTAATGCTTCAATGAAAACAACAATGAAAGCTTGTCACGCAAATAGAAGGAGCACTGTTGGGCGTTTTCTGAAATATTTCAATAGTATAATAATTCCCTTGCAAGCCCAAATAAATCTATCTACGTAAAAAAATAAGGGTGATTTGCGGAAAAACCCGCCAGTATCGCACCCAACGTCAGTGCCTATACGTAAGCGTACTACAACGCGGCTCTCAAACAAAGGAGTAACAAGTGTGATACTATCACTTCAGGCTAGAACTTTGGTTCTCTCATGCAATGGTTCATCGGAGAGAAGCTCAGTAATCCTCATCGCATGCTCATGACGCTATTCTGTCACGGCATGAGCCAACTATGCCGGACCTAAACCAACCGTCTCCAACGCTCCACTATGAAGCATAAGATTAGGCCCGCCCACCAACGTGCAGGTTAAAAACTAGCCAAGAAGAGGGAACTCTTCTCCCAATTCTCAGATTTAATTGTAATTCTCCGAATATTCCCATTGGATTATGCTTCGGTTTATATTTCTCCCGAAACTGCTTGAAGTTCTCCTCAGAAATTCTTATGGTATTTACTTAAACTTTAATTGCAATCCTATTCAGGGTTTCCTTGGAATTCTACTCAGATCTACCTTTGTTATTCTTCAATGCGATTCACATGGAGTATGGAGTTCCGCAGCCCACCCAGAGAATTGTAGTTAGTTGATGCAATCCGCACCAATCTCAATGATTCTAATTTCAATTGTATTTGGAGTATGATTACGTTGACTTTCCTGGTAAGTTCATAACATTCGCGACTTATTCCCGGTTTCCCTGTATCCTGGTAGAGTTGGCACCCTGCAAAATGCATTGATTGTTTCCCAGTATGCTTGCATTTTAACTCCGACGCACCGGTTCAGTGTATGTATTGCGTCACTGGAGTGTGAGCTCAGGACACAAGAGTGAGTGAATTTTGAAACGGACCAAAAAGATTTTCGGATGCAGGATGATTCTTAGCAAGGCCATTTCCAATTTTTTGTATTTTATTGATTTTTTTCGTTTTTTTTTCCTTGTGTATTTTCTTGTTGATTCCTACACTTAGTATCTGTATGCATGTGTGTATGTTGCAGTAATATAATAGTAGTAGCAGTAGTAGTAGTAGTAGTAGCAAATAAGCAATAATAGCGACCAGTAGCACATGCACCGTCTGCAGCAGAGTCTCGTCTTAATCGTGTCCTTGAACTTTCGAAGCGCAGTTCAGAGCAAAAGAATCGTTTTTTTTTTTGTTTCCTGTGTCTAACCGTACGAATATATTGTTCTTTTACTACTAGTAGAAGGTATTAAGGGTATCAAGAAACGGGGAGGGGGGTCTGAGGGGAGGAGAACCACGATCCAAGATGATATACAACCGACAGCGTGTAAGTCCTTTACATCGTCAGTTCCATGATCGCGTTTACGACGTCGTATTTGTTCACCTTCAGTGCCCGAATGGCCTTGGCGCGGGGTACGTTGGCATTCTGCATGACCAGTTCGATGTCCTTATCGTTGAGGCCGGGGTCGTCCACTTCCTCTTCGTCCTCTTCGGCGATCGGGGCGACGGAGGTGGTGGCACCGGACGATTCTCCAGCGGCGGGGGTAGCTTCCGGGGCCTTGAATTTCTCGGCAGCGGCCACCTGGGCTTGCTGCGACAGATCTTCGATCTTGGCTTCTCCGAAAATGATGTAGGTGTCGCTGTGGGGGTTCTTGTACACGTCTGGGTTGTTTATCACGAACAGGATGTTCTTTGACTTGCGGATCGTCACTCGGTTCACGCCCTGCACCGGCTTCAGACCGAGCTTGGACATGATCTTGCGGGCCTTCTTCTCACCACGGGACTGCTTGGCCTTCGAGACCAGATCCGGCATGCCACCGGACGACAGCTGGGCGGCGGCGGTGCCTGCGGAAGGGAAAGAACATCACGATGTTGTTAGAAAGAGATCCATGGGATTTTTTTTACAAGAATGATGCGGTCATTTTATCGATAAAAAAATCTTAATCTTCTTGTTTTCATGTCGAGTTGAAACTTATGTTCCTGAATCTTGAAAATTTCTCCTCACATAGGGGAATTTACGTATTTTCGGCAACCTAAGCAGCGACGTTCTTTCTATAGCCTTTTTATATAAGGAACGCACACAAATGCAGTATTGGCAACAATCAATACGAAACTAACGATTTTAAATTGGCTCACCACTTTAGTAGCCTATTGGTCCCAAGCAAACGATTAACGTACCCTATTCTAGTTGAAATTCTATTACTACACTATGTTTGTTTTGATTCGCTATGAAAGTTTGACAGATAACATCAGGGGTGTGTGGATTCATGCAGAACATGCAGGGGTGAGTGAAATAGCTTGGGACTGCTTGGGACCGTTGTTCTGGTACTGAGTGAGCCAAAAATAATAATGATTTTCTTCGGGACCCAGTGGTCTTAGAGTTACCTCTATGGTATTGGTGTGTTTACAATCTTTTGCTGCCAGCTGCTCTAACAAGTTCAGTCGAAAGAATTGTCAAAAACTGTTTTGAAACGCTTTTACAAAGCTCCAATCTTCTCTAGTGAGAGCGAGTATTGTCAGCAACCAGTTTTTCTTCGGCAACCGTTCCATTTGAACTGCATGTAAATCTGCTGTTCTATTATCGGCAACTCGAAATCAGCTACAATTTGTAGTGCGTGTGTTGCATTTCAAGAAAACCTTGGTAGATTGCTTTTTCTCAGTGGTAAAAATATAGTCAAATTGAAGCTGAAAGCATAAAGAATCGTTTGCATGCATTCAGCGAAGTGTTTTCGTAAGAAAATCCAGTGAAAATAGTGTTTCAATTTGTGTTGCCGAAAATAGTCTGTCATGCCGAAGCCGTCATTTCCCCTATTTCCCGAATTTAAAGAAAAATAAACTCGCTGAATATTGCAGATTTTTCTCAATCAGGAAATTCAGGATTATAACAAATTTTCTCCATTCGACAGCCATTACTCGTATTCATCGGACGTGTTCTCTTTCTGCTCTGCTTAACTTGGTGAAATATTGTAGCGAAAATGAGTGTAGTTCGTAAAAACACACTTGTTGTTGACTTCAGTGTCCTTCCAGTTCGTCCCAATGCGGGAAAAGTGCAAAAATTCTTCGAGAACAATATTAAGCTTCAATATTCGGACGTTAGATGCATTCAGTTTCATAACGTCCGAAATTGTGTTTTTGTTGAGATGATAGACAATGAAGTTGCCTTGCGCTATGAAAAGGCGCACAACTATAAACACGCGATTCTCTGTGCGAAGAGTGAGTTCAAAATCCCGGTATATGTGGATTGCGAAGCAGTGACCGTTCGAGTGCATGATCTTCCTCTGGCATGGCCACAAGCCACTGTTATGAACCACATGGTAAAGTACGGGACAGTGATTTCCAGTCGACATGAGAAATGGAAGCACTACTTCCCAGGATTCATGAGCGGTGTTCGAGTTTTACGAATGCGACTCGAAAGCGCCATTCCATCGTACATCACGGTCGACAACGAAACAACGTTGGTAACGTATGACAAGCAACCAAAAACGTGCCGCCATTGTGGCCGAGCAGCACATCACAAACAGAAATGTTTGGATGTAGCCACATCGAACAATAGCACCGCTCCAGCAGCTCCACCAACCGAGGGGGTATTCAGTCTCGATGATTTCCCGTCGATTGATATCGAACAAAACCAGCCAACGACATCGGGTCAATCATCTCCTGCTTTCACCGGGTTCTCAGCAGAAGAACAACAGCGAAACACCGACAATCAAACCGAGGATCATCACACTTAAAGCAACGACGAAAACTCTACACAGCAAAAAAAGTTGTTGAATATTACATCGAAACTGCTGCAACCAGGTCAATCCATCGGTTGTGTAATATCACATTGTACAATGTACATCGATTTTGCGAACAAAATTACATCCATTGATGTAATATTGTATCTGCGTTTTGCTATTACATCATTATTTCATACATCAGCTTGAATTACGTTGATCGATATTACATTTTTTTTGCTGTGTAGCACCAGCTCATCAAACGCAACAAAGGATTTCAATGAAAATACCAACAAACGCCGGCTGTCGAAACACAAGGAGAACGAAAAAAAGAAAGTTCGTGCTGATCAGTGCACCCAGAAGACTGGTCAGCAAATAGATCGTTTAGATGAAAATAATGCAACTTATCAAATAGGGGATAATACGTTTTATTTGAAAAATAAAAGCGGGAAGGGATCTCATTGTAAATAATGGTCATCGGCCCAAGCAATGCCTAATAGGCGAGAGGGCCTTATAAATAAACGCAATAAAAAAAAAACAAATTTTCTAAAAACTATAGGCCCAACAAAAATCGATCCCTTTTTTATATCGTAGAGCTTGTGTTTTTCTGTGTCGATGACAATTTTCCACAGGACATCTTTAGAATTCACTTAAGAATTTCCCTTTAAATCATCTCAGAGTTGATCTTAAAAAAAACTTTCTGGTATTCCTTTATTATTTTCTTGATAGTACAGTAATGACCCGATTTTGCCAGTCTCATTTTTTAGAATCTTTTCTACGAAGACCATGCGCCTTTTCAATGGTCTTACTGCACCAAAGTGTACCTCATTCCACAGAGAACAACATCTATGTCAAATTCTTAAAGTGTGTAAGAAATTTAGACATTTGAAACTAGCAATATCGTGGTGGCGCTAGTGTCGCTGCCCATCGACGTCGATGACCGGCATACGTCATCTTAACATCAATGTCAAAATTGTTGTGAGCAAAACACCGAAGGTGTTACCAACAATCAATACGAAACTAACGATTTTAAATTGGCTCACCACTTTAGTAGCCTATTGGTCCCAAGCAAACGATTAACGTACCCTATTCTAGTTGAAATTCTATTACCACACTATGTTTGTTTTGATTCGCTATGAAAGTTTGACAGATAACATCAGGGCCCTAATAAAAAATAACCATAAACGAACGATAACCCAAATCATTGAACTATTCCACAAATGGTTTGGATGATACCCAGAACACGTCGTTAAGCAAATTAACCATACAATTTTTATTAGGGGGGTGTGTGGATTCATGCAGAACATGCAGGGGTGAGTGAAATAGCTTGGGACTGCTTGGGACCGTTGTTCTGGTACTGAGTGAGCCAAAAATAATAATGATTTTCTTCGGGACCCAGTGGTCTTAGAGTTACCTCTATGGTGTTACCTAAAGAGCCTAAATTCATAAAGAGGCGATATGTCAAAATTGGAACAATCGATTGTCTGTCAAAGTCATAGGAAAAGTCATTCCAATCGAGCAGAAGACTTGTCAAATGGATAAGATGTCGTCTCTTTATAAATTCAGGCTCTTTAGTGTTACCAAGTGAAAATCTTTTCACAATTTTGCCCGAACTACAGGAGATTTTCTTCTCACGTGGAGCCCAAGCGCTTGCAACGAAAAAGTTATGTTCCGACCATTGCACAGTGGTTGAAAAGTCCATTTTGACGCTCTTAATTAATAGCACCATGAATAGCGGATTTAGAGTAATGACGTCTTCAACAAAGTTGATGAGTATGACATGCTTCATATTTTGAAGGCATGGGTTTTGTGATTAATCCCCCTAAAAGTGAAATGAAAAATTTATTTTTCCAAAATGTCGAGATAAATGGTTGACGTCTTTAGCAAAGTTGTAGCAAAAATGATTACAAACAACTTTGCCCAAGTCATAAAAGTCCTAAATTTCCCTCAAATCGAGATAGAGAGCGTTGTTTGAGGACGGACCCCCAAAAACACGTTTTTCATTAAAACACATATTTTCTTTAATTTTAGGTCCTCATTATGTTCAACAAAGTTGATTGGTATACTACAATACACATCGTTCTAGAACATACTATACCTGCATAATTTTAATAGGATGAGTTATTGATAAATTTTCTTCTATTTTCCTCATACTTTAGCCTTGCGTATCTTTCTTAGGTGCAAGAAGGTGCAGATGAAATTAAATGCATCTAAAACAACATTAATACCCCGTTCACATTACAGTGTATATCACGTGATATACGCTGTCTTGCAATGAGCACTCATACATCTAGTTTTCACTGGAAATCTTATGTATGAGTGCTGATTGCAAGACAGCCTATATTACGTGATATAGGCTGTAATGTGAACGGGGTATAAAAGAGCTTTCAAATGGTGGTAAATTTGTCCGTTCACGACCGTTTGCTGGAGAGTTGTGATCAAAACAAGTATCTATATCTTTACTCTGTTTTATGGTAAAACCAGTATAAAAAAGATAATCTACTTCAATATATCCACATGGTTTTGCATTTTTGTTGTCAATATTTTGTATTCTATTCAATTATCATCATTATTATCATAATCATAACCATTAATACAATCATTATTGTTTCCTTCAGCTTCTTCTGCTAGCAGCTGTTTAGCATCGCTCGACAAAGGCTTCTCGTGATTTTTAGGCCATCCACGAATGCTAGTAATCAATGGATCTGATAATAATAGGAGCCAGTTCAATAGATCACGATTTGTAAGCGATCTTGATTGCTTGCGGGTATTGTATCTTTTAAATAAAAGTTTTATTAATTTATTCGTTGTTATTATGGTTGGATACATGTACCTCTTCCAATCCTTGTTCCTTGCCTCCTGTGCTTCCTCAGAAAACTGACCGATTAGAACAAGGAAATGTCCAATCACGGCTGATCCATGTATCAATACTTTATGAATTCTAGCTGGCAAGTAATACCAGGTTCGACAGGTTGGTGTTGATTAACAAAGCTTCTAGATCTGTGTTTTCGGGTATAGGGTTGCTCAAGGACTTCTTCAAAGAATGAACCAACTTATTTTCATCTGCAGAACTTGCGTGAGAAACGGTTTTCAGGATATCCGTCACCTTTTCTCACCTGATTCTCTCAT